ACTCTCTATAGTCTATGCACATCCTCATGCTTCCATCCTTCTTCTTCATGAATAACATCAAAACTCCCCAAGGTGAAGAACTAAGTCTAATGAAACCGTTCTCCAACTCTGAAGTTGGATCATAATCTCCTTCATCTCTGGTGGTGCTAATCGGTGTGGTGCTTTCTCTAATGTTTTTTTTTATCCTGGTAACAATTCTATTCGAAATTCTACTTGTTTATCTGGGGCCAATCTAAGAAGGTCTTCGGGAAATACTTCCAGATAGTCAAAAACCACTAGTATCCTTTGTATCTCTTTCTTCCCCTTCTTTGCATCAATCACAAATTCCAAGTATGATTTCCATCCTTTAGACAACCATTTTCTGGCTTTCATTAGGGAAATAATTCCAAAATTTACTCTACGTTTGTCCCCATACACCATAAACGATTCTTTTCCAGGTTGGTTTACTCTCACCATTTTCTTCCTGCATAGTATCTCGACATCGTTTGCACTAAGTCAATCCATTCTTAGTACAATGTTGCACCCGTTCAATTGGATGGGTAATATCTCCTCATGGAATTTATTTTCATTCAAGTTGATGACAATGTTTTTAATGCAATCACTAACATGTATGAATTTGCCACTAACAACTTCTACAACTGGAACACTATCAAGTATATCTAGAGGCAATGCTAGTCTTCCACCAAATTTATGAGATATAAAGGAATAATTTGCTCTAGAATCTAACAATGTATTGGCAGGAAATACATTTACAAGAAAGGTACCTAAAGCGAAACTTGCTTCATCACTTTCTGCTTCCAGGGTCATTTAAAATGCTCTTGTCTTTGGCCTTTATGGAACATTCAGCCTTCTCGCCTATTTTTTTCGTTGGGTAGTCCTTAGGAATGTGCCCTTCTTCATTACAACAGTAACACACCTTGTTGAATGTGCACTCATTGGCATAAAGCCTAGTTTTTCCACACTTAAAACAAGTCACTTCCTAACCACATTTTCCAAAGTGTTTCTTTTTTCACTTCTCACACCATCTTGCTTCACCTACTCTTCCTCCAAAGTTCTTAGAACCAGACTTTGAGAACTTGCTTTTCTTGTTAGACCTTGAAACTCCATCAGACTTCATTTTCTCTTCTACCTCAGCTCTCTCAAGACCCTTCTCACTTAACTAGGTGTCAACATTATTAGCTGCCTAGATGGCGACTTTCAAGGTGCTTGCTTGTTTGAACATTGGACCAAAGTTTATTGGTGATCCATTGGCAAACTTGTTGATCTTGGAGAGTTTAGTTGGAACCAAATAAGGAAGAAGCTTCATTTTCTCTGTAAAACTTGCAACATACTCGATGACAATCATCCTTCCTGTAACATTCCGATGTTCAGGTACTTCTAAATTCAACCACATAATTCTATTTCATGTAAATTCGTCAAGTGGTAGCCCTCTAGGGTATAAATGACGATTGGACACGACATGTTGAAGGCACCAACACGGCGTGTATGGATATGAAAAGGCGCATATTTTATTTGAGCAACCCGGCGTGTTTCCTCTTGGAACATGATGTGTTGCTGTTGAAATGAAACCCTAATATTCCTGGTTTTTCTCCCTATTTAAAGGGATTTGGAGGCTAGGGTTTGTTCACCCTCAGCCACCATTAGCCCCTCAAACTCTAAAAGAAAGCCTAATCATTTCTCTCTTATTTGTGAAGCCAGTTTCATGTTTGGAAGGAAGAAGGTGAAAGAAGGAAGCAAATATCCAGCAAGCAAGCACAATTCTTCAGTTTGGCACTCTTCTGTACATTTGTAAATGTCCAATACCCTTTTATCATTCAAAGTTGTTATATCTTGATTTTTGTCCCTTTTTCTTCTTTTTCTTTAATATTGCAATGGTTGCATCTCATAAAGTTTGCAACTTTATGAATCTTTAGGTCAAGGTGACCTAGTAGTGTCTTGGATCTGGTCTATAACCAAGTTTTGATGTCATGCATGGAGATTAGGTCATAAACCCTCATTTTGACCTAATATGGTTTCAAGACATACATTGGACATGTATGTCTAAAAAGAACCAACCTTTAGGATGGTTTAGGTGTTAGAACCACTTCCGGAAAGGATGGACTTTGGATCTTAAGGATTAAGGTGATTGTGGTTAAGCCCTTGCATTATCAAGCATGTGATTTGGGCTTTTTTTTTTTACCTTTTGTTAGTCCCAATGGATAATGTTGGAAAATTTTATCCTTCCTAAGCACATTTTTGGTCTAGATTTCAGCTTTGGAGCTCTTAGAGTCGAAAATGCAGCTGAATGTATTAAGTTGTTGGAACTCTGGCGAACATGACATGTTTGCAAGTCAACACGACATGTTGGATGAAGTTTTTCCATCTGTTTGGATGCTCAAGGAAAACAACATGGCCAAAGGGATTATGGTGTGTTGGGTCAACATGAACTGCGAACCTTGACCGTTGACTTTGACCAAGTTGGACCTTGATGGTATTTTCGGTATTTTGGGATCTTGATGGAATTAGACACTTGGTGGAAGCAAATATACGTTAGAGAACTGAGATTTCGCAGTCGGCCATCATCAGTTGTATTCGGTCTGTGAGGTGATTTTTCCTTATTGTACTTGTGAGTCGAAGGCACCAAGGTCGGCGCATTGGTTGGATAACCTGATATTTGTTGATATGTTGGGTATGGAATATATGTGCATGCTAGTATTGATATGCTAGTCTGGTAGATCTATAGGATTACTTGTGATATTGTCTAATTATTTGTGTATGTTATTATCTGTTATATGTCAACATATTGTGTGGGTTAGGTTAAGGTTGTACTGCTTCGTGCGGTAGCCAATAAACCCTGGAGCAATCCAAATATGAGTTGAGGGTCGATAGGGTATGTCAGACTCACACTGAGGGCTCATGAGCATTCTAGATACGAGCTGAGGTCCGGGAAGGGAATGCCAAACTCATACTGAGGGCTTAGTGATATTCAGTCTGAGGATTGATCTGGTCAGGGAGCAAGCCAGACATAAGTTGTGGGCCGAATGCTAGCCAAACCAATGTTCTGGGCTTAGGGGTAATCCAGTCTGTTAGCTATGGACCCATTACATGTTGTTATGATATATGTGTTATCTGTTGTGTGTTGGTATTTTGGGGGGAACTCATTAACCTTTGGGCTTACAATTTTAGGTTATGTTTCAGGTACTCAGAGGATTGTCGAAAGGAAAAGGCATGATCATGCACCTCCTCATGTTTTGTTTTATGATTTTGGGAAAACTCTGATATTTCACATGTTTTGAAAACTATTTTCTAAGCAATGATGAATTATGGGTTGGTTTTAAAAGTTAAAAATTTTCATGAATTTTATGGATGTTACAAGTTAGTATCAGAGACTTGGTTCGAGTGATTTAGAGGAACACTCTTGTAAATCCAGTCTCAAAGTAAAGAAAAAGAATTTTTCAAAAAATTTTGAAATGGTTTTCAAAATAATCAAGGAGAATGTGATTTCTAATTTCAACCGGAGCCAGTAAGACCCCAAAGTACCACACAATTATTTGAGATTATGCTTTGATATGTTAGACCAACATGCTAGTATTAGGATAGGGATCTTTAGGAATTTTATGATAGAATCGCCTTATATATGATGCCTTATCTCTTATAGAATCCCTGACTGATTGTTGTTTGACTCTTTCGCGTGTGAACTTGCTATTGTGTGAATACTCTAAGTCACATGCTATTGTGTTTATATGATCTTAGGATAAAAGGTTTGGTCCTATTGTGCAGCTCTTTCTGAGTCCAACCATTGTAAGATTGAGTCTTTTAGTCTAAGATGGTTTAAACTATGAAGCATGTGATTGTACTCATGCGATAGGTATTTGGCACCAATGGAGGGTCATGTGACAGTTAGTGGTGGGATAAGTTATGTGGGGTCAACTGGCTAGTCTCGAGATGTGTAGTCTTCCTCTAGTATGTGAGGATCTAATTTGTAAACATACTAATGTGTATAATTAGGGTTGTTGTGATGATCCTCAGAGGAAAATACGGGTAGGTGTGGAATGTAGTATGGGCCCGTACTATTGAAAGCATAGGACCCGTACGCATACAAAGGAAGTCACAATCCCTAGGGATTGATTGGGAGTTGTTTCCCCTGTTATGATATGTATGTTATCTTATATCTCCATGTTTTATTTTAGTATGGTGTCGGCAAGAAGATTTGAGCATGGGTTCAAATCATGATCGGGAGCTGGCAGCCAGGGTGGTCTAGTTGCGTCTGATGATAGGATTAGGGTGATTCTACAGGAGGAGGCTGTCGCTCGCTTTCGAGCTCAGTTTCCATACATGTTTGGGTCTATTAAGAACGACATGATTGATTACTTTGATGAGCGTTATGTTGCTTTGTCTGAGGCTGCTAGGGAATTTAACTTTGAATCTCAGATATGTAGACTTCAAAAGTAATGGATTAGACTCGAAATAAGGACTTAAGAAGCTAAACCTCATGGTGAAATAAAAACGTCGTGGTAACTGTTATAAAATTATTTTTTTGGTTTTCTAACTGGACAACACAACGTGTTTTAGTATTCCGCGTCATGATGACTGTAAAATAGCACGTATAAGTGATGAAATGAGTAGCTTTCGGGTATATGTTGTAGCACCAACTAATATATGTAGTTCTTGGGCATCACTCTTCACCCGTTGACTCAAATTAACATCCAAAAATTCTCTAAGCTTGCCTCTCTCTCCGTTTTCTAATCTTTCTCTAAAAATAACTTCCATTTGCCAAAAATACCCTCGCTCAGACTCTAAAAATTCATGAAATCTAAATCAAAGAAAAGTAATGAAACTAGGAAACATAGTCAAACATCCAAAAGATAAATAAGTATCCAAAAAACCAAACCAAACACACAAAAAATAAAAACACAAAAGAAACAAGTCTTGAATCCACTTAAACAAAAGGATAAAAACTCTCAATCATCCTCATCATCGGCACCACCTCCACTTCCTCCACTGCCTCCTTGCTGCTCTTGTCAAAGTTCCTCCCAACTTGGTACATAAGGATAGGAAACTAGAAAATGACTGGGTCGTGGGAAATGCATCTTCTCCATCATATAATCCAGACTCATGTTTGTGTAATTGGCACTCCGTGTCAAATTGTCCTGAAATCTCCTTGATGCCACACTGTAAGGAACCATGGGAAGCTCGTCCTCAGTAGGTATGACAGGAGGTTCATCTTTATCTAGTTCCCCTCCTCTCTGTCTGACCTGTCCCCCTGGTTGATCGCGTGGTGTATCATTAGGAGTGGAAAATTTTCCGAACCTATGATCCTCGACAATATTTTCCCGCATATAAAGGAGAGTAGAAAAGGCATTTTGAGACTCAATCGTCAAGAACATAGCTTCGCGTCTTTATAGAATACCAAATGAGCGTGCAAGACGAGTGATTAACATGCCACCATAAAGAAGAGACTCACGCCTATCTTTACCCACCTGGAAGGATAGAAAGTCACCCTACAAGAAAGGCATGTCCACAAAAGCATCTGGTGTAACAAGAGCCCATAGGAAAAATACGTCCATTATTGGGAACTTGTCCCCTTCTTTCCTTAGGTTTATTTTATTTATTATCAACCGGTGCAAAAGGCAATGAAAAGGGGATCAAATATCACTTTCTTGAGTTGTCCCCTATTGGTAAGCCTTTTTTGCAATGATCCTCCATTCTTCTTCGACCTTGAACCCTTCTGTAAGTTTGTTGCTACCCGTGATAAACTCCATGTAAGCATTTGTGTGCACCTTGGATGGAAGATAAATCTCCGTCCTTAATGCCAACTCGGTGAGACTAAGCTCTCTTCTTCCCCCACCCTTGGGAAAAATGTGATATTCCTTTCCTCCAAAGCACCAATCTTCCTCCTCAATCACACTGTGGCTAAAAATTCAAGCACCAACTACTTGTAAATAATTTCTTGGATTGGGAATAATCTTTGCCAAGCCATGCACATAAATTATCCTTGTTCCCTAGAAATTCTTTAACTAAATAGGGTACAATTCCCTCCAACAACTTTGTTTGTTCTATCTAATACCAATCGACAAAAACTAGAACATGAAATTTCCTTTGCTTCATTCATTCAAGCTTTCCATTCCATTGTGCCAAGACCTCAAGACCTACAACTCTCGAAAAAGTGTACCATGGAAAATCATTATGGTGACCGGGTTGATTTCTTCTTAAGCAGTTGGCCATGACTGTAAAATAACCAAGAACAACATACCAAGAAACCATATGCAAGATTAAAACCAAAATAAAACAGATTGGGCCTCAAATTTGCTCGCCACATCGAGGACCATGACGAGTCGTTGTGGTTGACAAACTAACAATTTAATCAAGCAAATGGAGAACTAAAATCCATGCTTTTCAAACTAAAATCAACTTAAGGGTTTGTTTAGGGCATGTTTTAGTGTAAGTTACCAACAATTGCAAAGTAAAAACATCAACATTTGGGTGCGATTTTTGCAAAAATCGGAACCCTAATTCATATGTACGTCCCTAATTGTTTTTCTAATCATCAAATACGTATCAAATACTAGTAGATACTCGTTTATTAGCAGATAAATCACATAAATATCATACCTTTTGGTTGAAAGAACAAATAAATCAAAGGTAGGAGGAAGAATTTCTTCGTGGGAACGAGGGCACGGTGAGAGAGAGAGAGATAGGAGTAAGAAGTAATGAATGATTTTGACTGAGATGATAAACCTAATTTTACTGAGTTTAACACATCACCATGTGATGGCTTGGGCACCACGTCGTGGTGTCGCTTCAAAATTCGATGATTGTGTTTTCTGGAAAATCACCACGACGTGTTGAAATATACCACGTCATGAAAAAATAATGTTATTTTTGTCAAATCTTTATAAAAGTGTTCACCCTACACTAATTCCATGCCATTACCCACTTTGAAATCCATATAAAAATTTAGAAGAATAAGAGAGTCAAAAATAAAGTAAAAATTAAACAAATATAAAGAGAATAAAAGAAAAGGAAAGAAAATGTGTTAGGATATGAATCCTTGAAAGATCGATTAGATTCAAAACAGATTAAAACAAGAACACAAAAACGGATCAAAATATGCTTAATGATTATAAGCCACAACCTCAAACGAACTCGATGAAGAATTGCTACTATAGAGGCGTGATTAGGGTTACAAGAATATTATTAAAAAGTTACCAAAAATGATGCATGCATACACCTAAAATACAATAACCCTAGAAATAAATGACGGGTGGACATGCCCAACCCGATAATAAAATGGACAAAACAAAAGGCCCAATGATGCAACACTATATCTCCAACAATCTCCCCATTTGCGTCAATTATGGTGAGAGTGAATAAAGGCTGAGTTCGCTTCTGCACTTCAAAAACTTTTGGAATTACGGTTAGCAGAACCTTGCGAACCTGGATGTACCATTGAACCATATCAGAAAAGCACTTTGTGTCTCACTTATTGTTGCCCTTGAATTTGTTGACCATGTCAAAAATGTACTCCAGACAAGAGGTATTGTATAAATGTTTATCAGGGAGGAAGAACCGGCCTTTTGAAATTCTGCATCGTTTCGTTCTCATGCCTGAAATAGCACATACCATCCTTTTTTGTAAATGTTTCCAAGCTTCAACTTCTCAAAACCTTCTGGTACCTCTTTAGGGAGATCAAAGGGCTTCCTTCTTAGTACAACAACTATTTCCACATTCATTTTTCCCACGTCTTGAATATACAAAACTATCATCAGCTTGAGGTGAGCGATAACGGGCTCGTACTTCTTTTCGTATCTCAACAATAAATTGTAAAGCATGATCCAATCATACAGATTAGGACAAGGCAAGTCTGCGAGAGTGAATTCATGAACCTGACTAGCAAAACCTTTCACAACCTTGAACTTCACATTCGGGAAGCTGTCGATTTTGATTGGACTTGTGACCTTTACTATAGTAATCTTGCTAGCACTCCATGTTTCATACTGTGGCTTCATATGCTTGAGATAGAACAAGAAGAGCAAATGGTCAGTGCCGCTATCAGCGAACGGGACATTCACTGCTCTTACAAAAGAGCGAAACTTGAACGCTTTTGGAGTTATTGGAAGATCCAATTGTAATCCTTGTGTATTTTGCAGCTCAAATAACACAACTGGTTCTAGCTAATATTGAGTCGGTAAATCCACGACTTTGTTCTGAATTCACTGCAAAGTCCACTCCGGAAATAAGAGATTTCGGCTTTCAAGTGTGACCTGAGCTTCTCTTTCTACTTTCTCTTTTGCTTCAGCCTCACGAACTATCCTTTGATGCTTATCCATATTAGCTTCATGTGCTTTTGTTCTTTTAAGCTCGTTTTCATTAGGCTCTTTGTCTTCACTTTGTTTAATAATAGGTTCTTCAGTGAAAAGTTTTTCTTTGCCTTTAGGATCATATTTGTCTTTGACAATGGGCTTCGCTGAAGGTTTGGGGCCATCTTTCTTGGATTGTTCTCTCCCTTGTTTCAGAATGGAGCTAGATTCCTGAACACACTCCAAACAATGAAGCATGGCAAAGATGGGCCTTAGTTTCTCAGCAAGATGTTTCCTCACCATGATTGTAATCATTGAGTCCTTAGTTTCAACAATATCTGAAAGCATACCAGTAACATCTGTGATATAGCTTTTCATAGCTACTTTCTCTAGTAACAAATCATTGACTTGTTTCTCAGCATTCTCGAGTATGATGGTCAGGACTTTCACCTTTTCAGTCTTGACTGCAAGAGCATCCATTATTTTTCTTTCCATTGCAAGATCATCTTAAATC